TAACTACCAAGCAAACCTCATTATAGTGGCCTCTTCTTTAATACGGCCATCATAGTAATGAAAATCGGGCGGTTTTACTGTATACGTTCTTTAGATTTTTGTTTTAACGACTAGCTAGATCCACTGTTTAAGGAACCGGCAGCTATTGTATATACTGGAAAATGTTTTTGACCTTTTCGCAAAATGTAAAAATTAAATTTGGTCAAATTTAATAGAGACTTCCCGGGCATAGAGCTACCTAGATATTGTGCAAATAACGTCAACTTTACCTTAAATGTCAGGTATTACAAAATTATTTATTCAAACCGTTTAGGTGAGGTAAAGTAACACACACACGCACAAACAGACACACACACACACAAACACACACATGAAAACAAAACATGGACCTCTTTAAAATGACAGGTAGCCATCTGAAAAAGTCCAAGACTATATATAAGATCAATATGTGTGAACTGATATAATTTCTTTTTAATATCAAATTGTACACATTCAATTTATTTCGTTTTTTTTCAAAACGTGTCTTTAGGTGCTAAGCTTGTTAAATTTCCTGAAATATAGTACCATCGCCGTCCTCCAAGCATATTACAGCTGGCGTCCCGCATCGCCCCTCACAGCGTGTGATCTTCCAACATGCTTGATAATTGTACGAAGCATGGTACTACTCTTTTAGACTGAAATCTTTGATAAGTAATTTCAGGATGTAGACCGTATGAACCAGTAGACGATTTCGCATAGACATACGGATAACGTCCCTTTTCCGAATGTCAGCGTTAATTCTGGGAATTATGCTTGTACATATGTATGCGTCAGTAAAATCTAAAAGACACAAAATATACTAGAATTGAGTCTTATTTCATTATAGACAGAAACTGTCACACAACCTCCCAAAAATCCAGCTGTGTTACAGTATAGACAATTTTGCCCCGAATAACATTGATCTTTTGAAACTCTTCAGTGCGTAAAGAGTATTCTTGTTCGTAATGGTTATCGAAGTGTCGATTCGTGCATATTGTCTTCTATAATACACTCTACTCCTGACAGCGAGGTTAGAGTATGTGCTGATAAAACATAATCTACAATGTCCATTGAGCTTGTTATTATAAGCGAACGACGAATATTCTGTTTTATTGACGCATTATTCAACGCCATATTTTGGTATATACTATTTATAGTTGGATTATAATTATGCACGGGTTATATGGTAGGATATTGCATCATTCTCAGGGTAATTGCGGGAAAGAAGTACGGCTATACATGTCGGATTTTAGGTGAACGAACTAACATTAACCTTGTGCGTTCAGGACATCTGATTGCAATAATAATATTTGATGCTATCTTTTACAAACTTCTAACATGGCCTTTCGCTTTTTCCCCCTTGGAAAGGAAGGTTCGAAGGATGAAAATTATAGGCGGGCATATTCCCGTCTACTCTAGTGGCAAGCGCAGAAAACCGACAGGTGCACGCGACCGTACTGCTCCTTTAGTGATTTCCTGAGTGTAGACACAAGAGGAATGTACTGTTTATCTTTTGCACTGGGGTCACGGGGATTGACTTATACCACATTATGGATGAAATTAGAGTTTTGATGAAAGATTCAGATCTCTTTACCTGATAATGAAACATTTGATCATGTACGTCTGGTATAAAATTCAATCATGTCAAGTGATGATAGATAGAAAACTAGAGTGAATAATTACAAAGACTTCACAACCGTGAACTAAAATACATCGTTATGTAGTTAAAATGACGATATCTTAATGTTTTGACGAAATAGCTTGAGCTAAATCTTTTGTGGCACAAAACATTATTTTTATATATTGTTATCTAATACAGATTTTGTGTATTGTAACATTGATTGCGATATATGTTTTCCTTAAGTCACCCTATATTTGGATTCACAACTTCACCTTAATATTGAGATTAGTTGGTTTCCGTTGGTTTCTTTCTAAAATACCAACAGCGTGAAAACAATTTCATAAATACCCAGAAGTTAGCATTTTACAATTGTAGGTATCAATATTTAAAGTCAGCTTTGATTCTAGAAGTTTTTGCTTATCTATATGTCTATTTTACCCATCCTCTTCTCTTGGTTATTATATACCACTCCACCGTAATAAATGTATGCGATATTGCACCCACTCCAAGGCTGACCCCCCCCCCTGGGAATGGGTCGAAATTCTATAGTGCACCCACCCCGAAGCTCCTCCAAATCGAATGGGTCGAAATTCTAAAATGGTTGTGTACATCGACAGACCATCACCCATCATACTTCAAAGTTGAAAGCTTCAATATATTACACACTGGATAGCAGGACGTGCTCAACATTGCGTAGGCACACGGACGGACACGATAACATTTCTAATGCTTTATTCTTCTAATCGATCGTTGAGGTAATTATAATATGATAGATTATTTCTATGCACAGTCTCATTCTAGTTCCTGTATTACTTGACCTGTTTCGAATAAGTCTAGTCTAGGTAAAATAAGTCGCTAAAGATAAAGAATTTCTTTAGATAAAACATAAATGTAGAACTTGACATATATTTCAAGATTAAAAATAAATTTAAAAGAATCAGTTAAAGTTTAATCCATCAGTAAATTAAATCTGTTTCGATACTAGCATTGACGCTAGTGGTGACCTTTTGTTAAATGGACTTTTAAAATCCAGGTCATGGAATACAGTGGACAGAACTATTCTGTGTTATAGCTTCCGTATTTAACATTTAGCATACACACTTGGAGTCTATTATAGCTTCAGTATTTGCCATTTAGCATAAACAATTGTTAGTCTATAATAGTTTCCGTACTTGCCATTTAGCATACACACGTGGTAGTCTATAATAGCTTCCGTACTTGCCATTTAGCATACACACTTGTTAGTCTATATTAGCTTCCATATTTTCCCTTTAGCATACACACTTGTTAGTCTATAATAGCTTCCGTATTTGCCATGTAGCATACATTCTTGTCAGTCTATAATAGCTTCCGTATTAGCCATTTAACATACACTCATGTTAGTCTATAATTGCTTCAATATTTGCCATTTAGCATACACACGTGTCAGTCTACATTAGCTTCCGCATTTGCAATTTAGCAAACACACGTGGTAGTCTATAATAGCTTCCGTACTTGCCATTTAGCATACACACGTGTCATAGATTCCGTATTTACCAGTGAGCATACACACTTGTTAGTCTATAGTAGCTTCCGTATTTGCCATTTAGCATACAGACGTGTCAGTCTATAGTAGTTTCCATATTTGCCATTTAGCATACACACGTTTTAGTATATAATAGCTTCCGTTTTTGTCTTTGAATGATAAGAAACCAGTAATTATTACGATTAAAATCAAATGAAAATGTGACCCCCCCCGCAGACAACATATTTAGAAAAAAACATATGATGGTTTAAACTATATATACAGCATGACTTTACATGAAATGTGATAATTTATACATTGCAGTTCAGAGCGTTACAATACATAGCATGTACCTATTTCGGCAAACGGCTTTCTCATTTTTAACAGTGAACAAGACACTTTACTCATAATGATGAATAGGTGCCCCGAGGAGTGGCCGAGTTGTCTAAAGCGCTGTCCGTTACGGATCACTGCCATCTCACCTCTGTCTGCGTGTGTTCGAGTCTAGGATTCGGTGAATGTGGATATGTGAGAAAGCTTGCCAGTAGCTTCTCGTGGGTCGGTGGTTCTTTCCGGTGATTTCCCGGTTTCTTCCTCCACCATTAATACTGGCCGCCATGAATAGCCTATCATGTGCTGAAAAATGGCGTTAAGCCCAACAACAACAACAATCATAATGATGAATATGCGGTCTGTTTCAAAAGAAATAAAAGGATGAATTAATAATCTCTTTGATTATGAACACATTCTGCAGACTCAACAACTTTCAGAAAAGTTTAAACCAACATATGGCTTTTTAAATATGTTATCTGCGGAGTGTGTGTCACATTTATATATATATATATATATATATATATATATATATATATATATATATATATATATATATATATATATATATATATATGAATACTTTCAGGCAGTAAACAAGCGCTTTCAATTTAAACATTTATAGAACGTATATGACATGACATAAAATAAAAACAACTCTTCGTAAAGTGATGAAAAAAGTAAACTAGCATGTCTGCGTCTGTAAAAAATATTCATAATTTTGAAACACACATTGCAATAAAAATAGCTCACGTCGATAGTTCATTAATCACGTCATCCTTTGTCATCAGTCATAAACGGAGATAACTGAATCATATTTTCTCTTTTCAAAAAATGTATTGGTGCATCTTAAAGTTTCGATGGAAATATTTTCAGATTCAAAGCACGCATTATTCTCTACAAGATATGGAAAATTATATAAATTACCTGGAAGATACGGATGTTAACGTCAATTATAATTGACTTCAAGATGAAAAAGCAAAATTCTTAGTCAAACATGAGCCATAAGTTGATTAAATTTTCAAAGAAAGTTGAAAATTGAAATTGACTTTCGTAAGTTTTTTAACATTCGTACTAAATATGATTTTATTTTTCGACTGAGTCATGTGTTCTGAAAATACTATGAAATTCAGTAATTAAGGTAAAATGGTAATACCGCATACGTTTACATAAAGCTGAAAATCATAAATAACCTATGCTATGGCATTCATAAATAACTATGCCATCACCCCTTCGCAAATATAGAAACAGGCATTAATGAGCTTCTACCATAGTAATAGGAGAAACAATCACCTCTTAAAGAGTTTAACTGAAGCGTAAGATTTGTGATTTGGATCTTTTAACGTAGCTTCAGTCATGTTGCTACGATATCTACAGTGTGGCAGTTTTTAATCATGTCTAGCAATGAGGCATCATGCCGCAGACATGTAGCATGATGACCCACCCAGTCACATTATCCTGACACCAGGCCAACCAGTGAGCGCCAAGCGAGGCTGCTGTTAGAACCATTTTTATAAGTCTTTGGTATGACTCAGCCGTGGATCGAACCGACGAACTCACACATCTGAGGCGGACGCTCTAACTACTAGGCCATCGGAGCGGTTTTTACTGAAGCGAGTGACATATATTGTATGTGAATGGACAAAGACAAATATTTCACATATAATAAGACCAATAATCATAGGACAAGAAGACTACTATACCGAATGTTTAACAGATTAATTGTTCTCACTATATATATATATATATATATATATATATATATATATATATATATATATATATATATATATATATATATATATATATATATATATATAATGAACAAATGTATAAAACATATCGTGTGATTTCACATAAGTGAATTAAATTAATGATTAAATAGCCCTTGATGCTTATCAGTAATGTTAATTTTGTAGGATGCTTAAGTCGGGGTTGGGGTAATCATTATTTATTACATGTTGATGTCAAATCTCAAAGCCTTTTTTTGACATTGTATTCTCTTTTCTACTCTGGTATCTTACTAGGTTATGTAATCATTAGCATAGTGAATAAGATATTCAGATGTGTCGTATTGAATAAGATGTTCTAAGGTGTCATAGTGAATAAAATACTCCGATATGTCATAGTGAATATGACGTTCTAAGGTGTCATAGTGAATAAGATACTCAGATGTGTCATAGTGAATAAGATGTTCTAAGGTGTCATAGTGAATAAAATACTTAGATATGTCATAGTGAATATGATGTTCAAAGGTGTCATAGTGAATAAGATACTCAGATGTGTCATAGTGAATATGATGTTCTAAGGTGTCATAGTGAATAAAATACTCCGATATGTCATAGTGAATATGATGTTCTAAGGTGTCATAGTGAATAAAATACTCAGATATGTCATAGTGAATATGATGTTTTAAGTTGTCATAGTGAATAAGATACTCATATATGTCATAGTGAATAAGATGTTCTAAGGTGTCATAATGAATAAAATACTCCGATGTGTCATAGTGAATATGATGTTCTAAGGTGTCATAGTGAATAAAATACTCAGATGTGTCATAGTGAATATGATGTTCTAAGGTGTCATAGTGACTAAGATACTCAGATGTGTCATTTAACTAAGAAAAAGCCAACAATTTAATGAATAAATAGGAGTACGTAGACTTTGAGGCATTTCAGTATATTCATCATTTATTTTTAAATTTACGATTATATGTCTATATGACGTCATATGTATTTGACATCAAATTTGCATGTGCTGACTCAGTACACAGTTTTCGCGCTTAAACTTTTCTTTTTGCTAATTTTGGTATATAATTGTTACATCTTCCACAGATCATGTAACAATACCGGTCATACTCAGTGTGCAATCTTTGGAACACTTGGGAAATACTCTGAGTAATATAGGGCAAAACGTTTTCATCTTGCTCTTGAGATTTTCTCAATCAACCAGTCTTATATGATTCATACTCTGTATTGTCTGCGTTGTAGACATCCATACCAGGCCCTAGGGTAAGGCGAACGAGGCATCCGCTTTGGGCCCCTCGCTGCTGACGGAAATCAACTTTTCAATGCAAATTTTTGCTTGGGGGCCCTGCGCTCATTGCTTGCTGCCTTGGGCTTCGCATGCTGCCCTGAGCCCCACACATGCTATATCTAAACCTGTCGACATCAGAATGGCAACCGATGTTGAATTATCTTCAGAATGTTAGCATTTTTAGGTATCAAAAGGACTGTAATATGTGTTGATAAATACGCAGTACAAGATAATGTATTAAGTCTCCATAGGTCACGTCCATTCAAATCAACGTATGTCACGAATATAGTTTTTGCACAATACTTTTTGAATGAAAAGGCTGCATTATAAAGAAATTTAGAAAAATTCATTTAATATCATTTCTCATTAATAAACTCCATAGGAATTATTGCCATCTTTGACATGGAACCTGATTTTTCATTGCATCATTTTGTTGTTGTTGCTGGTGGTGATGGTGGTGTGTTTGTATGTGAATAAGTGAATGATGAATCAAAATAATGATGTCTCAAACGTGTTTTGTTTAATAAGTTCTTCGCGAAAATTGCAGAATAAACCACCATTAATTAATGCCGTATTCTTTATTCCCAGTTCAAAACAAGACATAATTTATTTTATATTTTTAAATAAATCCATTTTATTCCTATGAGTTGTACCTCATCATGACATATAGTAGCAATCCATTTTTGTAGCTCCTTTTCTTCAAAGATGGGATATATTGAAAGATTAAGTCTTGATGGAGTTAATGCAGTATTCTTTATTCCTCTTGCAAAACGGAATAATGTATTTTATAATAGTTTAAAATACATCCGTTTGATTCCTATGAGTGGTACCTCATCGTGACATTAAGCAACAATCCATTAATTTCGTGTCTCCTATTCTTCAAGGATGGGATGTACTGGAAGATTAATTCTTTAAGGAGTTAAGTATTGCCCTCCAAACATAAAACTGTAATATTGGTCTTGGATGTGTTCACATGTAACCATTGATGTTGATACTGTTATTGCATGTGCCTAGCTTAGCTTTGATATCGACCTAATGACCGAGGGTCATATAAATACATGAATACATCTGGTCTATATCTCAACAGATTTTCTCTGAACCTTTGTTTTTACTAATACAGCTCTTATAATTAATGTTTCCTTATATATAGGAAAGTCACTTTTTTATCCAAAAATGAAAGATACTGTTGGATATATATTTACATATATATATATATATATATATATATATATATATATATATATATATATATATATATATATATATATATATATATATGTTACAAGAACTGAAGAAAATTTGCGTAAACGTTATTTGCATCACTAGAGTATTCCTTGCAAAGAGGCAATCATATCAGTAATGCATTATTTGCGAGTTAGAGAACTGCAGTCAAACCAGCAGTCTACTTTGTGGACTGTTCTTAAAATCGATTGTCATCCGTAATCTTTTGATCAACACAACTTCGCTGTTGAACTGAATTTAGGTTGACAAAACACTGAATAAGCTCTGATAATTAAGTTCTATGATGCTATTGCCACTGTTCTTCTCGCATTATGAGTTTGCTAGCATACCGAAAACAGTGCAATGGTCTGTGGCTGGCCCTTGATTTGGTATGTATAGTTTGGATCGGCATGTTTACTTTTTCACCATCCCTGCTTGTAGACGGCTCTACGTGCAATGAAATGAAGCAGTGTTGAAGCATTGTTGGTGTGGCAATAGTGACTCACAGGTGTGGCAAAGGAATTTAACTTCAAATATCCTATAGGTTGATGTCTTGGATATAGAGTGCATCGATTTCTGCTGAAATTTTAAAGTTGGATTATGTACACGGTGTAAGTATTGCGTTTTATTTTCTTTTAGAGCCTGAAAGAACGTTTCCATCATAACTGTCTTCAGACCGTTTAATGTCAATTGACTATATCATAATAGACAAATTATAGAGGACGAAGTCATCCCGCTCATTTTCGTCACGTGTCTTATTCGTATTAAATACGTATATATGTTTGTAAATGGATCATAAGTATTTGAGAAAAAAAATCAAGCTTCATTTATAAATATGTAAAGAATAAGTAAGGTCAATACAATTAGAATGATAGAAGCTAAGACAGGTACAGGTTTAAGGTGAGAAAAACTTGTACCTACCTCGCAAATAAATTCCAGGATACGTATATAACATTTGGACACTGTATTGTTTATGTTTGAGATAATGAAGCAAAACTTTGACAGAATGCTAAACTTTGACAGAATGCTGTTTAAATTTCTTTCATGCAGTTTAGGCGTTCTTTTGCTGGATGGGAGATGATGAGTTTATTACATCTGTCTTTCCATTGCAAGGAAGAAGATAAGTTTGTTACATCTGTCCTTTTATTGTAAGGGAGATGATGAGTTTGTTACATCTCTCTTTTCATTGCAAGGGAAGTGATGAGTTTGCTAAATTGGTCTACTATGTTTCATTCAAGAAACTAGACGGATTGCAGACGATAAGACAAAATATGCCATTAGAATATCGCTCGCTGCAACGCTTGGTGTAATTTACACTTTAGGATATATCCTGAAATTTATCTTCTTTTTTTATCTTCCGAGCTTTCCTTTCCGTGCTCATTCGCAGAACTATGCTGGTACAAAATGATTCAAAAAATGAAGAAAAAACCCAAAAGCATTAAAACACATTAAAAAACACGATTAGCTTACTAGCTGGCGGATTCCATGTATCAAATACATATTCTGCAATTGCACCATTTTTGTAAGCAGAGGGTACCCTTTTTTCACCATTACCATATTTGTAAGCATTTAGTACGCTTCTTTACACCTATACGCTATTCTTTATGTAGATTCTATACTAATTAGGATATACGAATCATTGTTTTTTCAGTATCAATGTGCTTGAAAATAATTATTCCTTCTATTACTTAAAAAAGCACCGGAATCTACCTTGGAGAAAGATCTTAAACAGATAATTCTATCTAGGTTTCTGGGAACTCCATACTTTAGCCAGGTTTCCTTGAACTCGATAAACTATGACGGTTCATACTTGTCAGTTTTACAGCTATCTTTACTCTCATGTTATCGCCATTTACTAAACCTCTTGATAATAGAACTCAAAGAATATGGGATCTATTTTGGTCGTATGTTTATCAATAACTTTGAAATTTTACTTGGACTGCTCCGGTGGCCTATTGGTTAGAGCGTCTGAACTTGGGAGGTCAAGGTTCGAACCCCGGATGAGTCATACTAAAGACTTATAAAAATGATAGCAGTTGCATCGCTTGGAGGTCAACATTAAGAGGTTAATGTTAGGACTGTTCAGCATGGTGGCAGAATAATGTAACTGGGAGGTACGTGATGCTACTTGTCTGCGGCACGATGCCCCAGTGCTAGACATCACCATAACTGAACAAAGTTAAAGCTATGTTAAATCCAAGACTGAATGACCCTGGAGCCTTCATGATGATAATGATGTCAATCGCAATATTTTCTGTGATAACTTTACATGAATTTTGCAACTAATTATGTTTACCTTTTCAGTGTCAGAAAAGGTCAACTAGCGATGATAAATTAATGAAT